CATCTTCAAAGGAAAGAAATGGATGCCTCGTACCATTTTAATAGAACAAATTTCAACTAACCGGAGGATAAAGGATAAGACCATTTTGATGCCATCGACAAATTTGTTTTTTTTTTATGTTGATCAGTCTAGTGGTGACATCCGATATCGTTGCCAATGTTTATTTTGCAACGATTTTCAAGCTTTTTTCGAATCATACCCGAACTCATTTACGAGATCTGGCAATAAAATAATAACAATATTACTAGTTATAAAGCAATAAAAATTCGAAGATTATAAAAGTAATTAGTAATTGAGAAGTAGGAAACTAATTCATATTTCGATAATAAGAAAGAACCAAAGCTCAAGTATCTTTTCAAATAATGAAAGCAAAGATAGTTACTATAAAAAGTAATAAGTAATAAAAAAATTAGAAAAACTATCATCAGTTATAGAGTAATAGTAATAAAAAGTAATAGTAATGTAACACCATACCTGAAACATTAGCCATAAACTTTCGCAAGGTATTTTGTTGTGGCACTTGTTGCATCGAAACTGACACCTGAACATGCTATTTCAAGCATCTTAGGGGTCAGTGTAGCACACGAGTTGGTTTCGTTAGCGTCTGCGGTAGTGTCCATAAAATATTCGTTGCTACTGTCGAGTCTCAGGTTGTATCATTAGCATTGCAGGTGATTTCCTGTGAACACTCACACGTTCTCTGTACTTTCTGCATTGCTGTCTGCACCATCTCATGTTATGACTTGAGAAGTCAAGTTTGGTCCGTAAGATTTCAGGTTTTAGCTGTAGTGTCACAAATGGTGCCTGCGATATTTCCAGTTTTTCCATAACATCCCATACGCTACTTTAAGCAGTCTAGTTTTTCCAGTGGCATCTAACATAGTTTCTGCAACATGTCAGATTTTAGATGCAGCATCTTAACTTTCGTGTAAAGCATTGTTAGGGTTTCTCACTCACGAAAAGCGACGAACACAGTTAAAGATGTATGTGTTTTCTTTTCTCTCTGTTTATTCTTTGATAAAACAAACGTTTATATACGCACATAAAAAACAAGGACAAGATAGAAACGGATACAAAGGTTAATCAAGGTCAAAGAAAGGCAATAGAAACGAAATAACAGAAACGAAAATATTAAAGAAAAGAGAATAGATAGAATCGAGGTTTATGTAGTTAGAATACGCTGTAACAAGCATCTCCGGTAGTCTGTGTAGCATTTAGGGTAGTGTCTGAAGTAGGTCAGAAATTGCTTCTAGCGTCTTATATGAATTAGATTTGAATTCGAATAGTAGATCGAAGTTAGGTCAAAATTTATTTTTCGCTTTGTTGATCGTAACAAACTGGCCGCCTTTCCCAACGTTTTGGATGGCGAGCATTTAGCCAATATGAGTTTCGTCGACAGGGCATTCGTTAATGACAAAAGTCATGTGGACATTTGCCAATACATCCCATGGCATTTCGCCAATTGGCGAAAGCTCACTGCACTTTCGTCAGCACACTATCTGGAATTTCGCCAACATGAGAGTAAATTAGACGTGATTGAAAAATTTGCATCGCCTACCTTATGCGTATAAGCTATGATATATATATATCTTCTAGGAACATTAGTTTCAGCTCTGATATGTATTCTATATTAATATTGTTTCGTGATAGCTCATGAAAGCCCACTATACTTTCGCCAGCACACTTCCTGGAATTTCGCCAATATTCCACCGGACATTCGCCATTGGCAAATGTTCTGTTGAAGAAAGTCATATTGGCGAAATTTCGGAACCCCAAAGTTTTTTATTTTCAATTTGTCATCAGACAACTTCAGGTTCGTTTATATGTGAACTCGAATTAGGCATCTCATGGATGAGAGAGTGAAAGTAGAGATGCAGGACAGATCAACGTCCAGCCTTCTACCGATCGACATCCTCACACTCTTATTCTTCGTACTTGAATACAGATCAGCACGAGTCGCTGCAACTTGGAAAGAGCATCGCATGCATGTCTGAATACTTGAGTTTTAGTTGTTTGTTCAACAGCGCTTGCCAGCAATTTCCACATGTAAATGTATCTGCACAAGATAATCATTAAAAGAAGATCATTTTCAGTTTTAAGCAAAATTCCTTCAGAACGATAAAAACCTGAAACAGATTCGAGGTTGACTCGATTACTTTTAACGTCCATTCAATATGGCCTTTGTAAAAACCGCAATTAAAGTGTCTACTAAACACATTTGCATGAAAGAGTAGTCTAAAAATTTTCATTTACGTTACATAGATATTCATACAAACTTATTCAAAAATCGATTCTACCTATTTAGAAGCGAAAAATCTTTTCTTTCAAGTATTTTCAACGAAATTCATATATATTTACATGGGACTTTCGTGCTAGACGCATCATTCCTCTTCTATACTGCATTTCGGTTCTTAGTTTCCGCTGTTAACTTTTCCAAAGAAGTTAACCGATCAGATCTTTTTTTCTGCTCTATTATCCTATTTCTAGGAATATAGTGCCATCTCTACTTCTTCACACAGACACTCACCACACTCAATCTTTACAACAATCAACTTGGAGACAAAGGATCACAACATCTGGCTGATGCATTATGAAATAACACAGTGATTGTCACCCTCTTTTTATCTCTCTCGTATCCTCATCTGTTTTTTTCCAACAGATACTCTCCAAGTTAGATCTCACATACAATCAAATCGGAGCTCTTGGAGCACAACAGCTGGCTGATCCATTACGAAATAACATAGTAACTCCTCATCTTCTCTTCGTCTTTCTCATATTCTCATCTGCACTTATTCACATAGACATTACTCACACTCACTCTCTACAATAATCAACTTGGAGACAAAGGAGTACAATATTTGGCTGATGCATTACGAAATAACACAGTGACCTTCATTCCCTCGTCATCTCTCTCACGTCCCCATCTGCATTTTTTCATATAGACACTTACCACACTAAATCTCGGTGGTAATCAAATCGGAGACAAAGGAGCACAACATCTGTCTAATAGACTACGAAATAACACAGTGACCCTCATTCTATCGTCATTTCTTTCATATTTGTATCTGCAATTTTTCACACAGACGCTTACCACACTATACTTGTCTTTCAATCAAATCGGAGCTCGCGGAGCAGAACATCTGGCTGATGCATTACGAAATAACACGGTGATCCTCATTCTCTCTTCACTTCTCTCATATAACTATCTGCATTTTTACGTCCAGACACTCACCACACTATATCTTTCCAGCAATCAAATTGGAGCTGTTGGAGCACAATTTCTGGCTGATGCATTACAAACTAGCACGGTAACTCTTATTTACTCTTTGTCTTTTGTTATATCCCTATCTGCATTTTTCACACAGACACTCATCATACTAGATCTGCATAACAACCGAATTGGAGATCTTGGAGCAGAACATCTGGCTGATGCACTACGAAATAACACGGTGATCCTCATTTTCTCTTCGTCTCCCTCATATTCCCGTCTATACTTTCTCACACAGACACTCACTACACTAGATCTCACATACAATCAAATCAGATATGAACTTGAAGAACGTGTGCAGAAGTTGATTAAACAGAATAAACGACAAGCCAAATCGTGAATATTGCTAATAAAAGTGAAATGATGAATAACTGAAATGACATATTGAAGGGTGTGGGTGTGGGTGTGGATGTAGGATGGGTGTGGAGTGTCGGTGTAGGTGTGGGTGCGAGTGTAGGTTTGTGCGTATGGGTAAACAGATGACCAACACCTACACGCACCCACTCACACACTCACATCCACACACCCCACACCCACACCCACATCTGGATGAGTTTTACAAAATAAAATGCGTTTGAACGCGTCTGTTTTGCGTTTGGTGTCCACATGAGAACAACATCTTTTCTTTTTCCAGTCTCATACATAGTCTTTCGACATCCTATTTTCGGGATTTTATCCTTTGACATTTTTACTTTCGACCAAATTCCGACTTACCGAGGTGTTTCATAAAACACGTCTCATTGCATGTCCTCAGAAATATATCTTTCCAATTATGAATGAGATCTTCCATGATAAGAAAGAGTTAGAATTTCTGAAAGAAAGTACACAGGAGAAGTGAGGTATTAAGTAATGGACAGCGGATTTTTATCGAAGATGTTCTTCTTTCAGAAAGATCTCTTCATGTGTGACATGTTTAGATGCGCACCGCATTAATTAGGTCCTGTGACCATTGGAACGAATATTTTCGTAAAGAAAATTTGAGTTTCTTCACAGCAGGCTACAAAGAAGCATTAAAGTGATCTCAAAACACGCTTTTTAATACAGAGAACTTTTTTTATTAACTGCTCTTTCTGATTAGCTTTTTCTCATGAGTTATCCAACTTAGAGCTGATACACTACTAAGATGATCGAAGTCAAATATTGTCCATACTAAAAAATTTAGTTATTAATGTTTACATAAATGCTGAAAGAATTAAAAAGCTATAGAAATCACTACAAAAAAAAACAATTTTCAGAGGGAATCTCCTAAACTGTCTTTTACTTCATTTGCCCAAGAGAGATTTTCTAATGTGTCAAGGGCTTTAGCATCCTACAATAAAATCGATTTTCTTCGAATTTGAACCTGAAATATAGGGTCAGCACTGAACTTTGTAGCTTATGATGTATGATTAAAAAAAATTGAGAAAAAAAAGTTTCTTGTGGATCCTGAGGTCTCCCAGGGTGATTAATAACCAGGTAAAAATTGAAAGTCTTTGTTCAATAAAAAAAAAAGCCTCATTTTATTCAGAATTTCATGTTCATTAAGAATATATAATTCTTTTTCACAAAATATTTTGATCAAAAAAATGACCTTGTCGAGATTTCTTCTTTCCCGAGTTCCCAGCTTTTCCCTTATTAACACATTAAATATTTAGATTTGTTTTGTTTCTCATTTATTTCGGGATTTTAGGAAATCAATCATTACTGATTTCGAAAATGATCGTGAATATATTGTATGCAACAGAAAAAAAATCTATTTTTTGAACGAGGAAGCAGTGACTGATGGTGTGACAGTGAGTGATCGAGCAGTGGTACTTGTTGATTGTATCGTGGCTGGCGTCATTATATAAGTCTTCTTGAATTCATTTATATTTTGATCAGCCACTTTATTTTTCATAAAATGTTCTTGTACGACTGTTACCAAATTTTTATCTGGATCAATTTTCTGATCTTTTAGCTCTTCTGGTAGTCCACAAATGCCTACTCGACATGGCTGATCTATTCCATATAGTCCCAAACAACATGCCCACATCAGTTTCGGTGGTTTCGGATTTTGTTCATTGTTGCCACTATGTGCCAATAATTTAGCTTTCTGAGCAATTCTTTGCGCTTCCTGAATGGTTAATCGTTTATTACTTTGATCAAGATCAACGACAAATCCATCGTGATAGTGACAACTGCCGTGATTAACTTGTGCCAGAATATAATTCTGTTGACATTTGGGACATTGTTTAACTGATTGATCATCAAGACGTTTTGCTTCTTCGTCATTTTCTTGTTGAATCTGTTGAAGCGTCTTCTTGAATTCGATATCGTCAATTAATAGATTACGGAGAAGCGGATGTTTAACAATCATTACCATCCATTTCTCTTTCAATTGTTCCTTAGCCGATCCTGTCGTTGCCTGCAACATAAACTAGTGATATTTTAAAAGAATTTCTTTTTTTTTGATTAACTTCACTCACATTGCTACTTGTAGTCTTTTGTTCAACAATAGCTGTCTTACATTTTTCTCGAATAAATTGATATAAATGTATGTTTGAAATTGATACTGATTTTGACATTTGTGAATCAGAAACACTGAGCATAATGAGTGAATCGATATCAAAAATGAGCATCGAACGATTATATTCATCACACTCTGAATTAAACAAAATGAAGACAATCAGAATATTGCTTTTAAGAGTAGAATGAATTCTCTTTATATGATGAAAAATATTCGATAAGTAAATCACTTTGGGTATTTTTTTACTAGCAAGACTACTACTTGTTTTGAATTATTAAACTTAAAAGCTGTGGAGGATACTTTAATAGCAAGAAAATTGTATGTCTATTGAAAACAGAATAGGCGTATTCCATGAGAAAACCAGCTTGAGCAGTTTTCTCTAAAACCATCGAAAATACGATTTCTAGAAAATCGGATTTTTTTAAGTATAAGTGGCGAAAAAAATGAGTGCTCGAAAAAATTTTTGAACCTGATATTCGGATTCAGCATTGAAAGAGGAACATTTAAAAAAAGAAAACATTTCAAGCCTCTAACGAAAAACGCAAATTTATGAATTGAATTTCAATTTTTTTAAGTTTAAAATAGCTCAAGTCAGGTATGCGATAGAAAGTTGGCTCAAACATCAATCAATATAGAATTCAAAACTGAACAAAGGTAGTGTTTTTGAGTTTTAAACTTTATTAGTGAACTTTTTAAGGTTTTGGAGAAAACTTTCTAGAGACAAAAAGAAAGAACACGTCGAGAAACTTTTATAAAGCAGAGAAAAACATGATCCATTTAGCCATTCTCAAGATAGTTTTCTCATGAAACACGCCTATTCTGACATAAATGTACATAATTCAATAATTTTAATAGAAGAATTTTAGCATTTGCTTTGTTTTAAGACATAACTTTCAACCGATCGAGCAAGAAGTTTTGAGAGTTCTTCAGAATACAAATTAACGTTTTTGTTTTTGACACTTGAATCAAGTTTGATAGAGTTTCGAAGGTTAGCATCCGTTTTTTCAGCTGGAGTTTGGTATAACTGTTTCAATAAAAAAAATTAATAAGTTCGATTTGGATGAAAAAAAATGATATTTGCTAACATAGATCTCTTCACTTTCCATATTCTCGCTGTGTTGAAAGTTCCAGCTCGATCAGTTGCACTGTAGTTTAGATCCAGAACATCATTCCCATTAAAAAAAAACTGCAAAAAAATTGTCCAACTACTTTGAGTTTCCAGAAAAAAAGCTTTCAGAGTAATTCCTGAGGAATTGAAATACAAACTATTACACAGAGCTTTTCCTACATGAATTATCGTAACACTTGAAGGCTTTATCAATTCTGTGTGTGTGCTATGATCTGTGGGTTAATTTTGAGATAAACAAGGAGTGAGTGAATGACTATTGTGATTTCGGCTTGCGAGACACAGACAGAGAGCGTGATGGAAGATATTTTGGTCTATCTTATTGTAAAACTTTTCGAAAATGAACATTTTTAAGATGCTATGAGTCGATTTGAAACTCAATCGATTGATAATTACCGAGAAATGTTGTTGTTAATAATTCGAATATTTGATTTTCATCAAATGCGTTATGTTTAGTAAGAAAATTCATATCCATTATTTGAATTGTATCGATATTTCGACTTGAACAACCATTAACAAAACGTGACAGTAATGTTAATGTCGATGTTTCTTCAGGATTGAGGTCATAATCAAGTGTTGCATCATTACTAGATAATTCGATTAAACATTTTCGATATTGTAGATCGACAAGAATACGACCCGATGGTGAAATATGTGGTAATTTAAGTGAATATTTTTCTTGTTGTTCTGCCGATGAAACAATATTTGGATATAAACGACAAATTTCTGGTAATGTTCCAATACCAAACCAACAACTAAATTCTCTTGCTGCATTGTCAGCTAGTTCAAGTAATGTCTTATCAGTTAGAGCTTCAGAATTTTTAAGTTGATCCATTGCAACAATAATACTCGATTTAAGTGCACCGACTGCTGCACCACTAAAATTAGTTGTAACTTTAACAAGAAAATCAATTCGACTCGCTGTAAATGTTGTCAAATCTTTACACAACAATGGTTCAAGCATTTTCTTTCGAATTTGAGGTGATGGCCGACCAACAAAACATTTTGCTTGCATCCGACGTAGAAAAGCTTCATCCATCATGTTACGTCGATTTGTTGCACCAAATACAATCAAATTTGATATATCTTTAACACCTTCAATATGTGAAAGAAGTACACTTATTCCATCGACTTTCGATTGTTGAGCATTATTATCACGTTTAGGAACAAGTCCATCTATTTCATCAATTGTCATAGCACATATTAGATAACGTATTGTTTTCGCACGATACATGATATCTACAAGTAATCTTTCAGTTTCGCCTACATACGGACGATTAAGTTCGCCAGCTGCCAATGGAGTTGTCGTCATTGTAATACCCGCAAATATGGCAGCTCGTTTCAATAGTTCAGATTTACCTAAATACGTACAATAAAAACATTCTAGAAAAACTCAAATTAATAAGAAATAATTTGTATCAATAATAAAATGTATATAAAAATAACAATATCAAGTATCATTTTGCTTTTCTTTTTGTAAAATTCATGTTAAAATAGCTAATGTAAGTTTAAATCTAAACCTATTGGTAGTCCAATTCATATTGAAATATTCTTTGTTCACTAGCTAACTTCGACTAAATAGAGAATCGATGGCATATATGCGGTTTACTTTTTAAATATCTCTCGAGTCTGCATTATATAAAATCATGAGTTTTTTTTTTCAAACTAAAAATTGCTTCATAAATAGATTTGATTACTTCTATTACAATATGAATATGTTCAAGACATATACTTCATTTGAAATTTTGAACATTTACCAAAAATATCTTTAACAAAGTCTTATCTAATACTTCTTTTTTCAATTGAAATTGAGAGAGAGAGAGAGAGAGAGAGAGAGAGAGAAATTTCATTAATGATCATTTATACCTGTTCCTGGTGGTCCATAAAGTAGTAACCCACGTCCATATTTAACCTTCAATTTTCGATGTGCATCAGCTACATCGATTTTAAGAATAGTATTAAGATTTTCAATTCGTTCATCATCTTCAGCTATTTTAGTTTCTAATTCACGGATTGGTGCTCTATGTTCGGACAATTTGGTTTGTGCTCGTTGAAGACGAACTTTAGCCTCTTGATGTTCTTTCTCGGCAAGTTCTACTTTTCGTTTTTCTTCATCATGTTTATCAAATGCTTGTTTCGTCATTCCACTACTGACCATTTTTTCAAGCAAATCCTTTGCTTCAGCATCGATTTGTTTCTTTTTAGAAACAGCATTCTGTAGACCACGTTCACAAGCTTCAACTTCATCTTTGTATGCTTTAGTTTCTTTTTCGAGTTTATTAACTTTAGTACGACGATCTTTATTGAGTGTTACAAAATTATCTCGTTCTTTTGTCCATTCATCATGCTGTTGTTTATGGGCATTTGCATCGATCAGAGTATTTTGCAGACAGAATGTTGTCAAATATGCATGTATATTACTGAGAACATTACCATCATCATCATATGTTTTTCGTATTTCACTAATAGCCAAATCAACAGCACGTCGATCAAGATAAGGAATAAATTTGACTGTATCAGTAATATCATGAAAATATCGTCGTACGCGATGTATATCAGCAAGTAAAGTAGCGTCCGAATTTGTATATGGATTATTTGATGAATCGAATGCATGAGAAGCAGCATTCAATTGAATATAATCACGTATCATTTGCTTAACCAAATGTTTTACTGATGTTATTTTCTCCCAAGAATGATCGTTAGTTGCCGCATTTCGAAGATGTTCAATTGTAGCTATACTTTCCTCTATTAAAATATATAATGAAAGATCAGTGACTGGTTTTCGAATAAAAAGAGTCATACATTTGCACGCTTGATCTGATCTTTAGAATCCGATTTTTTGCATTAAAAGGAATTTTTAAACAAGTCTCTCTTTGGAAAAAAATTGTTAAAAATGAAAAAAAAAATATAGTCGAATGGTTTGTTAAGCATAATGATATCTGAAAATACTTTTTTTTACAACAAAAAGTCATTAGTTATATATATTGACACATATAAATTCTTCTATTTTTCGATTAAATCTAAAAATTTTTCAAGAAAGATTACATAGAAAACCTCCTATTTTATAATTCATTCTAAGATGAATACATCTATTGATTGGCAGATCGAGATTTTCTTTTATATTTGTCATCAGTCAAAATTGATTAGAATTTAGATCTACGATTTTTTCACTTCTCGTTGAGTTGTTTAAATAAGTTTATACCTTTTAAAGCTTTTTTCCAAAGTATTGCATCTCCTTCATCACAATTGTTTTGTCGACAAATCTTTTTCAGAAGATCATCAAGAGTTATATCATCATCATTATTCGTAGTATTCGTTGATGCATCTTTCTTTTTCATTTCTTCTCGATGTATGTAGACTTTAGTCGTTGAACTTGTTTTCCACACTTTAGGAAATTCGTTTTGATTCGGATCATTACATTGATAGTCGAGTTCAAGAAGATTAAGTAAATAATTAAAATTCCACGGTCCGAAAGCATCATTCTTTCGTATGAATAAATTAGGTCGATATATTGTACGTACACTTTGATTACTCATATCAATTGGATCATGAGTCGATATCAATGCATATTGATGAAGTACTGAAACACATTGACCATTTTCACTTGAACGAAGATGCTTGTTTGGTTGAATGAGTTCATCAACAAATGCTTGTAAATGTGGATAACTATATTTCAATCGGATATTTAATCTGATAGCATCAAGAATTACAGCATCGATTGAATCCGACGGTTGTTTTGTGGTACTTCCGACTGAACGCATACCGATTCCAGTATCAGTAGTAGTATTCGTTTTAGAATTATTCTTATTTGGTTTGAACGCTTCCCATGAGTATTCATCATCACTCATTTTTATAGTATGTAAATAGGGAGGAGTTACTACCAAATCACAATAATCTAAAATTAAATGTAGTTTTAACTCTGTATTTCTGTTGCGATATGATTTTATAAAGATTTATTTTTTCTCAAGGATAATTTAAAACATGTAAATCATCTGTATTCTCGGCTGAATTGTGAACTAGTCATTCAAATAATAGTTATTCTTTTCTATGATTAATCTCTCTTATATGAGTAACTTAAGAAAGCTTTTTCCGTGATCTGTGCTACAAAAAAAAACTCGATGATTGAATCAAATTTTATCGTGATTACGACACAAAAAAATGATTTATCGAAATTCTTTATCAAAAGTTCATAAATGACTTTTGTAGAGTAGAAACTTTCCTCTTTAAAGAATAGATGATGTATAATAAATGTTGATCATTTAAAGAAATATTCTATTCTTATATAGTTCTTTCGTCGAATAGACCGATATATGAAGTATATGTACAAGATGTCGAAATCTACTCAATATTAATATCGGTGCCAAAATATAAGGCAGATGATTGTTTTTCGAAATAACTCAAAAACTACAAAAGCTATCGACCTGGAGTGTATATGCGATAGAAAATTCAAATTCTAGTATGGAGTAGATCTAGACATTTAATATAAATCAACGTATTCTACTGAAAAGGCATTGAACAAACTGAATCTCTCAAAATTTGGATCGGATTCAGTGCTAATTGTCTCCACCTGTAATAACTAGTACTGAATCGAGCCCAAACTCCGGAATGTAATTTTGCTGGATACGATTCTGATTCATTGCGTGTCTAGTCACTAGAGGGAAAGAAGTTTTCTTTAAAAGCAGCTACTAAAAGTGTAAACGTCGAAATTCTAGTTTTAGAGTTTTTACTAGATGAAACTATCAAGCTAAGCAAAATGTACTATGCTGAATTAATATCGATGTTATATAGAAATTTTAATGAATTTTTCAAATTACTTCTGTTTCTTTTACAGAAAAGCAATCTTTCGAAATCTTAGACTTTTGTTTTTTTTTGAAAAGATATACAGTTTCACTACAATTATTATTTACTTTAGATTTATCGGAAATAAGATGAATTAATATATGGAGAAACAGTAAAAGAATTGATATTAAACTCATGAATGATGTTTATATTCAACCGTGTGAAGTTGTATCTGATTGAATCAATTTCTTCGTCGAATTTGTTCAACAGCAACATGTCTTTGTTCCTGTTCCTTGATTTTCTCTTGAGCAAGATTATGGATTTGTTCTTGATATTCTTTCTGTTTTTCACAATGATATATTTTGAGAGTGGTCATTGATTTTTCAAGTTTTTCAAGTTTTTCATAATTAGCCTTTTTAATTTCTTCATTTCCAGCAAATGTTTCATTTGACTGACGAAGTTTTTCACGCGTTACAGCAAAATCTTGTTCATTTTTAACGATCTGCTTATCTACTTTTTCAATATCAGTTTGTATTGATGATAATTCTTCTTTTGCTATATGAATTATTTTTTGTGCATTTTCTTGTCCTTTCTGTGCTTTATTCATTTTTTCTTTGATATCATCCATCAATTTGTTATTGTCTTGAATTTGTTGTGTCTTTTGTTGTAATTTACCTTCAATATGTTGTATATCAGCGGATAACTTAGCATCACGTGTATTTAACAAATCGATTTTCTGACGAAGATTTTGAACTTTTTCATCTTGTATTTGAATCTTTGAGCGTGCATCCTGATATTCACGTTCGACATTGTTTAATTGAGTGCGCATCTCTTGAAGATTTTTCTTTAAAATATCCTTTCGTTCAGCTAATGCTTTGCCATTTTCAGTAACTTGTGTTAACTCTTCATTTGTCAATTTAAGTTTTTCATTGAGATTTTCGAGTTCTTTTTTCTTGATATCTATATCAGCTTGTAATTCTTCAACTTTTTTTCCTTCGGCTTCAATTAATGTTTGCAGATGGGTCACATCACGCATTTTTGCTTTTTCGGAATTGATCATATCGTCATATTGTCGTTGGATATTATCACGTTCACCTTCAAATAGAATTGAAAAACAAAAATAAAATATATGAATAATTTTGAAAACTCGTCATGTTTGATATAGAAAGAGAAAAGTTTACAGATTAACTTTTCTTTAGTTGTACTGCAGGAAAAAGTCTCAATAAAAATTTTTTTCCTGGATTTTTCGATCATTCTCGTCTGGCCGGTTTTATATGTTCGAATTCAATGGAATCGACTAGAAGACGTTGCAGAAAAATAAAGGAAATTTATCGGTTCCGATGATCAATTTTCTCTATCAAAATACGAATCTTTGGAGTCGAAAAATTTTTCATGCATTACTCTATATAATATCACCAAAAATAAAACAGCTTTAAGAGTTTCGATAATAACTTTCAGAAAGTAATCAAATGTCTTCCGTTTTTAAATAGATCTTAAAATACTTTTGCAAATTCTATCGCCGCGTACCTTTGAGTTTTTGCACAACGAGTTTCTGTTGCTGACATTCGTCTGTCGTTGTCGACAATGCTGTCTGATTTGCTCTCATAACTTCTTTATGTTCATTAATGACTCTTTGATGTTGCTCAATTTCCAGCTTCAAATCTTCTACATTCGATTTTAAATCATTTCTTTGATTATCATATGTGATTCTTTCTTGTTGAAAACGTTGTAAATCATTTGTAGTCGTAGTAAGGTTTGCTTGAGCTCGTTGTAATTTATTATTTACCATGCGTAAATCTGTTTCTGATTGTTTTTGTCGTTTAGTAGCATTTCGATGTTGTTCAATCAATTGTTCAGCATTAGTTTTACATTGAGTGAATTTTGTTGATTTTTGTAGAGCAATAGTATTTTGATTAGCAAGTTCTTTCTTCGTATCGCTATGTTGCTTTCTACACTCGGCAACATTATGTTTGGCAGCCTTATGTCTATCACAAAGTTCACTCACCTTTGATTTTTTATTTTCATGTTTGTCCTGTGCTCGACTCAGATCTTCGCGAGCTCTGTTCAATTCTTGTTGTTTGGCTTGTCCTATACCGGATAGAAACGGAATATGTAATGATCCGAGTGCACTCCAAAGCATTTCCATAGATTCTAAATTGTCTACTCGAGCTTTGGCAGTAGCTTCTTGTTGTGCAGCTTGTGTTTCTTCAAGTCGAGCTTGATTTAATTGTGATTGTAAGCGTTGTTCTTCATGTACAGCTTTGTCATATAGATTGCTATGTTCACGTTCGAGTTTTTTTAGTTGAACTAATGTTCTTTCAGCTTCTTTATGTTCTGCTTCAGCAGTTTGTCGATCTTGTATAGCAGTTTCCTTTTTTTCACGTAAATTATTACATTCTTCAGTCCGTTTATTTACCTCTGTGTCAAGACGATCACGTTCACCTTCTAATCGTTCGACTTCGGCTGATTGTTGTTGTTTTTGTTGTTTATGTTGCTTAACATTTGCATCGGCACGATGAAATAATTCTTCGACGTCAAGTAATTTTTGTTGAAGTCTATTAAATGCATTCGTTTGTTTGACACGTTCATCTTCGAAATTTTGAAGTTCTTTTTCAAGTCGGCGTTGTTCATTTTCTAATTCTTTTCGTTGTTCTTCTAGTTGTGTAAATCGTACTTCGGCATTGGCTAAATCTTGTTTGATTTTTTCTAATTTTTCATTGGTCACTTGCATTTGTGCACGTAATTCTTCAAGTTCTTTTGTTAATTCTTTGATTTTTTCTTCATTTTTTCTAATTTCTTCTTCTAGACGAGCAACTTTTTCTAATTTATCTTTAAGAATAGCTTGTAATTTGACAATAGTTACGTTTAATTGTTGAATTTGTTTTTCTAAATTTTTCTTTTCTCGTTCTAAAATACGTTGTTGTTCATTTAATCGTTCAATTTCTTTATCAATGACCTTAATTTCTTTTTCATGTTTTTCAATTTCACGATGTAATTCTTCAATTTTTCTTTCTAATTCTTCACGTCGAGCGATTTCAATACTCAGAAGTTTTTCATTTTCACAAAGTTCTTGTGCAATTAATTCAATCTGTTTTTTTAATTCACGTTGTGACAATTGTAGATAATTTTGTTTATTAGCATTCTCAATTTCTTTATCTCGAACCTCTGATAGTTGTTTTTCTAGTTCTTGCTGTTCACCATTAAGTTCACTAAGTACTTTTGTGTATTCATTTAATTCACGTTCTAGTTCGGGTACTTTTATTTGATGATCTTTGATGTTTGCTTCTTCGAGAGCAACAGTTTTGGTTTTATTTAATTGATTTAAATATAATTCTGTTTTTTCTTCTTCTATTTTTTTCATTTGTTCAGCTTGTTGTTCTAGTGCACCGAGTAGTTTAGCCCTTTCATCTAATATAATATCACTTTTTTGTTCGAGCTCTTTTTTTTCTTGAGTTAATGATTGTTTTTTATCTTTGAGTTTGTCATGTTGACCTGCACAATGATCTGTAGCTTGTTGTTTTTCATTTTGAATTTGTTTGTATTCAGCTGATCGATCACCGAAAAAATCATCAGCATCTTCATCATCATTATTAGTGACGGGTGAATTCGTATTTGCTTGAGCCATTAATTTGAAAATCAAAGCTAAATTCATTGAAGCGATAGATCTTACTCGAAATAATAATTCATTTACCGTTAAATAGTTATTAAATATTTGTTATTATTGAAACGAAAATAAGGCGAAGTATAGGTCTGAAAAAAAGATATATCAGTTGATTAATTCAACTTTACTATTTCATGTAGGCAATTGCATTAAGAACTCGGAAGTAATTTACATTTGCAGATATATTTTGACGAAAATTGCTTCTCTCAGAACGACGATTAGTTCTGGATGATGCAGGACATTTTTCGTACTTGCAATATTCAACATTTCAAATTCCATTTCTATCTCAGAAAAAATTTATTTTGTATAAACTTCGTTTCGTAAAAGCCTATCTAAGGTAGTTGGAAAGGGACGCTCTTTTGCCATCTAAGCTATACATAACGTTACAGTGTTTAAATAGTGCTGTATTGTTCAAATACTCATTTATCAAAAAAAACAAAAAACAAAAAATTTTTCAAGGCGATATATAAGAATCGCGTTTTTGTCGTTTAAACACTACATAATAGGTGTGCTAAATAGTAATTTATTGATAGTTGAATCAATGATTTTCATAATCTTTGATCTGTAGTAAACAAGTTTCTATTTTCAAAAAAAAAGAAAATACAATTCAAAATATTTATCTAAGTAAATGAAAAGCAACTATAACTTATAGATCGATTTTTGAACAAAAAACGAAATTTATGTAGATTTGTACAAGAAGACTTCCTCTATTCAATGATGTATGTATTATCAAATTCTGTTGTGTACCGATTTTCAGTTCGGTTTTGGCTTACGTGAGAACCTTTTCAAGTGCTAAAAAGCTTTTGAGCTCAAATTTTCTCCACAGATAGTGGTGCATAGACTAGAAAAAGTCTAAAAGGTGATTAAGATCTTGATTTGGGCAAAGTTTCAGAACTAAATTCGAAACTCTGATATTATGAAGAAAGCCAGGTCCTATAGGACAATTATAATAAAAAGTCGATATCTCAGTCAAATCACAATTTGGGCCCATATCATGTTAGGCTTTTTCTAATCTAAGTATCTCTACCGGTGGACAAAATTTTTAGCTCAAAAGCTTTTTAGCATCTACAAAAGGTTCTCTCGTTAGTTATAAACGATTTTAGTTTTACAAACAGAATCAGATAATATATACACCATTGGATAGAGGAAGTTTTTTTCTACAAACCTACATATATCCCGTCTTCTGATCAAAATGTTATACTCACATTTGTGGTCTTAAGCGCCTCCATTCTTAGAAATTTTACAAAACTAAGAAAATTTTTCATAAAATAATATTTCTTTACACTTCAATCTAAGAAAAACTTGAACGATTCTTGGCATTTTTCTATAAAATTGACGAATTCAAATCTATAGAAAGCGACATTCTTACATAATAATAAAATATGTGATCTTGAAGCATTATTATAGACCGTCGTAGTGTAGGCCATTTTTTGGAGTGTTAATAATTGTTTTTTAGATCTTGAATTATATATGGTTTAATGCGTCCTTAAAAGCTCTACAAAATAAGATAAATTCAGGACTATACAGTCCCTAACGTCAACAACAAATATATTTCATCATTGGTAGTATTTTGCAGGATATTTCAGGAGATATCAAATAAAACTTAAACGAACTCTGTCGCTTTAGCCATTGTCGAGTAAATTTCAAAATACCAATCGCAGTGAATTTGTCAATAAAATAACGTGATAGTCAACTGGGTGAAGAAAGTCAATTCGGGTTAAGTTTTTTACAAGGACTTTAAATCAAAAACAAATTCGATTTGTTGGTAAAAATGAATGTTCTTTTCAACAATGTTGACAAAATTGAAAATAAAATTTATCCCTGACCGGTGTTCAAAAAAGTATTTGTTGTTTTTCTCATAGAGCCCTTTTTACAATTAAAAACTAATAATAAGGTAGTGACGGAGGCACTTTATTCCTGTATAGAAATGTTGACGAAAAGTTTTCTTTATATGTAATGATTTTGTTTAAAATATGTAACAGTTACATTAATACTGATTTCGAAAAAAACAGATGAATATGCTTTGAAAAACTTTTGAAAGAAACACAATAAAGAACTGTGATTTTTCACAGTTGACAAGTGAAGATGAAGACACATTGAATCGTATAGTATAGAGGTTTTTGGTTAGGTTTCGTTTTTTAAGGTTTCCAACTCTTCTTTTTGAACATAAACCTACTCTATAGGTTGTTTACATTCAGTTTTCAATTATCAGACGTGTATTCAAACCGTCAATCGAAGATCTACAAAACTGGCAAAAGACTCAGAAGTAAATTTAATTATACAACGTTTATAATTATACTAGTCAAAGCTCACAGTCGGTTTCTATGAAAAAAAAACTACTTTTTTGCTTTGAATTTTCTGATTAAAAAAAGAAAACACAGTTTTTCGGTACTTAGAAAATTGATTGAAACAACTTAAGAAATCATATTAGAAAAAGTTATAATAGATGATTCGATGCATGTTCATCTTCTTTTTTCAACTATGAAAACTGCAGTTCTTTATCTTCTTTCTTTCAAAAGCTATTAAAAAAAAAACAAATACTCGCCTGTGTTTTTTTTTGAAATGTGCATTAATGTAACCATCATTTATCATAATAAAATAGAGCTTTGTTTTTACTGTCACTACATATAAGGAGAACATTTTTTCGATCTTTCTATACAGAAATAAAGTACCTTCTGTACCGATATTGATACCACCTCTTACTGATATTCCTTTCTCTTTCTATCGCTTTCTCTATTCTATATATACATGTGTTGTAATGTGAAGTAGCTCGATAAATATCGTTACCGAGAATGGCGGTAAAGCTACTCCTCCAGTTCGTCGTTCTTACAAAATAAATGCATGAAATTGTTGGCCAAAAATGAATACCTGTTGTTTTTTTCAAAACGGATGTTCTATCGAAGAATAATGCAGACTAAAACAACTCTCTCTATCTACGTAATTATTGTTATTGCATCTTTTTCTCCACGTACATTCTTGGATTTTTCCTTGCTTCTGCATGTGTCACCTTTTTTTTTTCGTTTTTGTGTATGACCTGATTTGTTTTTCTTTCTTACACATGTGTGTTAACGTCATAAACAAATAGTATAGCTCTTGAGAAAAAAAAACACCGACTCATGGGCATGGTTTTTTTTTGTATTCGATTTAATATAATGTGAATTTTGTCTACACTCTATAGTACTGTTGTTCTCCTCGAATTTTCGTCAAAGGTCAAGCCTATATCTATCAATTAGGCAGATGATTATTTATAATATATCTATTGCCAAGCTGGTAGAACATTCAATACAGTTCGGAAATGATGGGTATCTTCATAAATGCGATAAAATATGACCATAATATAGTAAACTACGAATTCTCAATAACTGTTCCATTGGCCTACTGGATTTGTCAAGAATCATTGGTACTAAGAGGGCAAGGGTAATCTTAGAAAAGAATGTTACTATAGACATATCCGAATAAAAATTTTTATTCGTAGACTATAAAATTTTTCATTTATACTCGTCATTCATTATTATGTTCGCTAACTTTAAAGATAAAATCAAATGAGTGTCTAAAAGTTGTAATCTTCCTTATGATTCGAATTGTCTCAAAAATAAAATCGATTACCTGTGCTGAGTGAAGTATGGTTCGATGTTCTGTTCTCAATTAGGAATATATCTTTCACAATGTTCTTAATGCTTTTGATTATTAAAAAACCAATATTGTTAGGTGATAAGAACACAATGATGAGTGGTTTTTTTCCCATGACTATGTTGGTTTTTTTCTTCCTTGTGTATATAAAAGAACGAAAAGAAAATGCATGCAAAATGGAATAATATATGAATCATTCTTGCCAGCACAAAATTATTTGTTTCAATTGGAGATCTCTATATATTCTTGAAGATGATAATTGTACAAGTTTATTATCCGAGAGATAAAAATTGTATTGTGTACTTTAACAACAGTACTACACGGTGATTTACGGAAGAAATATTGGTTTTGTAGCATATCTTCATCATAGTGAAGAAGTATATGCATACAAACAAGCAAAATAGAGCCTCATGTGTTCTCTACTTTGAAAATCGAGATAAACTAGGGTGTGGGGTGAGAGTGACATTCTGGATCGTTTCCTGACGAACACTCAACCGACTCACATCTGCACCAACACGAGTCCACTTCAAATAAGCATGATGCATCCGCAACAGAACCAGCAATCTCTCATTTATATAAAGAAGTTAGACATAGCTTTAATTGAAATCATAGATCTCTTCTTGGAATGAACTCACGTTCATATCGTTTATTAGTTAGTGAACTGCTCGTTATTAGGAAGATATTGCCAAAAATAAATTTGACAACGGTATCGATTTTACTAATCATGATTCTCAAGTGTTCTTGATAATGATAATCAATTTCTTGAAACGTCCTAAAAATAAAGAATATTCTTGTTCATATTGTTGTTAGCTCAATTCTATTCTGTTTCAAATTGTTGTTCATGAACTCAGATACATGAGCAGAAGTAAAATAATAACAAATCAACTTTCTTTCTGGCGATATAGAACCAAAAGAACTGTAAGCCTGCTTCTGAAAGTATTGATATGAGCTCTGATTGTCTTTTCTTCAACCCTTTCGTACTAAAAGCTTCTCGATAGATTGGATCAGTATTTGCTCATTTCGCGATACACAGAGAACATTACTCCACGTTTTAGTTTCGAATTTTGGAGACCAACAACCACTCAAGTGTAAGATTCCAGTTCGACCAAATTGGTAACATGTGTAGCCTTTTCGGTCCAGATTTTGCACCACTTTCTCAAGGGTTGTCGTTGACCACATACCAACACGATGATATTCGAAAATTAATAGCCGCACTTGATGCTCATTCAAGAGTCGATCAGCGCCTTGAAGCACTAATGGATCAAATCCTTCGGTATCAATTTTCAACACATCGATACGACGATGGATTCGATGCAGCTGAGTAAAATGATCCAGCGTAGTGATGTTCACTTCGAAATAGCGGGTTCTGTTTGCAATATTGGGATTCGTGGCCAGTCCACATGATTCAGTTCCTGTACCACACGCATTTAGCAGAGCAACCCCTGTGTAGTTACTGAATACCAGATCATACACGTGAAAAGAGGATAGGTTGGTCCATTGTTGTACTTGACACAAGGCTCGATAAGTGCTCTGCTATGGTTCAAAGGCATAGATTTCGACGATCTTCTTGACACGTCTTGTGACATTGGCGTCGATGAATCCGATCTCTTTACAATCCCTACATGCTCCACAATCATTCAGTTTCAGTCTCGTGCGAAGGAAATCATGTAGCCTCTGAGGATCAATCCCGAGCTTGGGGATCCATAATGATAGCCAAGTCGTGATAACGTATCCTTTGTTGGCACCCACATCGAACAATAAGATTCTACCATCGTCACTCGACATATCAAGATCGGCTTTATACAGTTGCAACAGATACTGATCGGAATAACAGGCAGACCAACTACGCAATCTGCGCAGCTGTTGCAGAAATATATCTTCTTGCCGTTGTTTCTCGTCTTGGATGCAGTTCGAAGTCGGCTTTCATTGCTGAATCCTGACAGAAATTAGGCGGTTCAAGTGAATGGCTCAAAGGAAGGAAAATGCAAGAATACTTTTGAACGTTGAAAATATAATGAATAAGAGAAGTGCAAATATTAGAATGGCCACAAAAACACGCTGCGATCTCATAGCTCCAGTGATCATTTGATGTAATGTTGATGAAATGTTATGTAACTTGTAGAATATCACATACACTTGATGAAAGAAATCTAGAAATAAATACGAGATGAATTTTCTGTGTTGATTCGAAAATTAATTCGCTATCATCCTGATATAATTCTATCCTAGATTTATGGCAGAGAAAATATTTGAATTCTATTTGGACGATTGCCTGACTACCCAAGCGGACAAAAAAAAATGAAAAAATGCTTAAAACTTTTTGACCATGTTTTTCCGATGCCAATTACGTTTTCCCGATTGCCATCCAAAGACATTCACAAAAAGCTAACATGAAAAACGATCATCTCTCATACAACCTCAAACTTTTGACAATCTATGTATGACAATGTTTTGGTCGCTTTCACGTATTGTTTTCGTTAGTATTTCTGATCCACAATTAGGAATCTCGATTAGCATCGAGGAGTATTCAGATTTTTCGTGCGTGTACATGTCCCATTAATTTTTCTCTATTTTCACACCTTTTCTGATTTATTTTTTCTATGATTTGTTTTACTATCTAAGCTATTCATATCATAGCGATAACTGATACGTACCCATGTAACTATCAAACGCATTTTAGATGCAGCTAGATGCACTGATCATCGTGTCTCTTGAGCGTATTTAGAGAAAATTCATAGTTTCGGAACATTTTTTAGGCTAAATACATACAAACACATTTTTATTTCTATTCTAGAACGTGTTGAGACACATTCATGTCATATTATGCCTCTGATCACGTTTAAGAATTAAAAGAAACTATCTCTCTTTGAGTAAACACTATCTAACACAGAGTCAAAAACATCCATCCGACAGAATGCTCCTGTCAATGCATCGAATTTGTCGAAACGCGTTCGGATGCATCGCTTTTTTCAAAGCAGTTGAATATATAGTTATATAGTTAGTTCAGTTAGTACGGATAAATATCTAAAAAAAGGAAGTTACATCTGTACGAAAATTTATCCATGAGTCCAACGTGCTGTGTCGTCGTTGGAATGTTATTGTGATTCAAGAAAAGACTGCGTCATGATATTAAGTTTAGAAGATAGTAGCTGAACGCAAGGGATTACTTTTCTAATTTATTTGAATAAATATATGAGCTTTCGGTTAACTTAATTGAACAAGAATAAGAACCCGAAAGCATACGTCTATGAATGGTTCTTTATCATACATAACTCAAGAAGAATGATTTTGACGAATATCTCTTGGAGTTCTCAATCGGTGATGATTGTCTTGTTTTTGTTATGTCTGTGTGTAATAATTGAGAATCACATAAAATGATATAAATTTATAATTTGAATGCATCCAAAATGTAATATTTTGAGACGTGGAACGTGTTCAAAAAACTAAACATGCTCACATTCGTCTATGATAAAAACAGATTAATATGCACTTTTTCGTTTTTCTATGTTAAGTGAGATAAATGCATCAACGTTATTCTCAAAAAAGTCAAAAATAGCCATCTCCATGTGTCGGAATTGAACTGGATTCTAACATTCAAACTGCATCTCTATCAATAAAATTTAACCAATTTAAGTTTGATTTAATAGATTCATTATCTTAAATGAGTAATTCTATCGTAATTGACTGTTATTTACACATTTCTTATTGAAAATATTAAACTGTTGACAAAACTGTATGTCTCATTTTTATATTACTTCTAAAATGTTTCGAGATGCGCACGTGGCAAATAATAATCTTTAATATTTTGTTATAATTGTCATCATCTCTTACCTAGACAAACGAATGAATTCTATGAATATATTAGTTTTATTTTATCTGAATTGCACAAGTACTTTTTCAAATAGACTTGTTGATTTATCTTTAGTGTTATTATAGCAAAGAATGAATGCAAATAAAACTTCTATACTTATGCAATAAAGATAAATACAAAAAAAAATTTTATTACGTAAAACATGAGGAAAGTGAAATAAAAAATAAGGAGGGTTTTTAAATGAAAAACTAATTAATACTTTATTTTCTCCAAATACCTCAAAAAAAATTTGATATTATAATTACATAAAAGTACATTGCCAAAATTTTTTGTGCATATATCTTTTCTTCTGGCGTCCTCAGTTTTTAACAACATCAGATATTGAGATGCTACTAGTAAGAAAAGGGTGCGGATGTGAGAGTAAAAAGAAGATCCACACCTATACTCACACTCACACCCACACCCAAGCAAGAATATCAACAGTTAACTGGTGCATATTTGATTATAAATTTGTTTATTCTTTATCATATCTGGTGTCATCAATATAAAAAGGTTCAATGTTGAATATTGTGATCTTTCCTCGTAATTGTATGCCAACACAATGAAAAACCATGCATAGTTAAATGAATTAATATTAAATGTACTATGCATGACACTCTCTAAACTTTTGCAACGAGCCGAATGCGTGATTCATGGAAATCGATAGCGAATATTTTTTTTTTCTATATTGAATTATTGTTTTTAGTTCTTTGTTTTAAAAAATGTTTATACCTAGAAATAATCGACATAAATTGACTAAACTAAACACAAATCAGCTATAGTGGCTTTTGACTCAATCAGACAAAAACTATAGAAAAAAGTTAGAAAAATGTTGGAAAATCAACGAGTTTTGTTTCTACATAGTCTTCAGATGTTAACTCCTTAAATACCAGCATCCGAAGTACAGGACATTTGTGAGATAGAAAAGATTTCGGTATATACATAACTCTAATGGAATCACTCAGATAGTAAGTTTAATGAGCTTTTGGAACATCATCTCTATTCAAAAAACGAAGAAAGCGAATAATACCCTGTTTTGATCTTCCAAATATTTTAAAATTTGATCTATACTCATTTTCCTCCACGAGGAAGATGAACATATCTCATTGCTGTTTTCATGGAAAACTACGGGCATCAAACAAAAATGAAACCTTATAGAAATTTCTCTCATAGGTACCCTGAGCTGGACTTCAGACTCAACCAGGCTGATTGATATTTTCATACAAAGATATAGTAATAAACAATATATAATAAAAATATATGAATAAAAACAGGCTAGAACTTTTAAATTTAGCTATGAATCTTTTTTGTACTAGCATAATCACAAAATTTACTATCCTATCATTTTGGATTTAAAAAAATGCTTCTTTTACTGAATGTTATTAGTCTAATTTAATTATGAAAAATATTGTTTTTTGTTGTTATTTATTGATATATGAACAAAATGTTATAATTGAACTTGATAACAGTATTTGAAAGTAGTTCAGATTAGGTATGCACCAGTCCAGTCGGACTGGTACCCAGTCATGACTGGTACCCAGTCTGATTGGTACCCAGTCATGACTGGGTACCCAGTCACGACTGGTAGCAGTCATGACTGGGTCATCAATCATTTTATCTTTAATTTATAACATGAATAATACCTCCCTCTTTCTTATCAGATTATCATAAACTCATCTTAACCTATTAAAGAGCTAATACGACTCATATCATGGAAATAATTGATTATTAATTCTATGATATAACTCGTATTAGTGCTCTAATAGGTTATGATGAGTTTCTTATAATATTATAAGAAAGAGGGAGATATTATGCATGTTATAAATTAAAGATTAAATGATTGATGACCCAGTCATGACTGGGTACCAGTCGGACTGGGTACCAGTCATGACTGGAACTGGTGCATACCTAGTTCAGATTGTCACTTCTGGAATATTGTCGGATTGAACGTTCGACATTGGTTTATCTTTCTGCTTTGTTTTTGATTTACTGATGATTCTGTACAATATAAATAGACAAAATGGACTATAGTCTATGTCTAGTTATACGGCATTTCTTGTTAAGACGACCAATACTGATGAATTGTAAGTCATTTTGGACTACGTTACATTGGCTGTTTATTATTTTGAGATGAAAAAACATTTATAATGAATTCATTGCTACTGGGTGAATGATATGAAAGCATTCGGACAATATGCAACTAGATACTTTGAACTCATAACCAATAAAAACTGTCTAGTCATTCTTCTTGTCTATCTTGTGACCTTACTCTCTTTTGCGTATATATAAGCTTGTGCTCCATAAGAAGTGATGGACTAGAATAGCAACAATACTATTCCTTAAAGTAACGAAACTAACCATCCATCATCATCATCATCATCATTTTCTTATACAATTAATATTCTTTACTTCATATTTCTAGGTTTTCGATGATTAAAAACGAAACGCAGTGATGATGATGATTGAATCTCATTCACAATTGTCAAACAATGATAATATGGAACCAATGATAGTACATATTGATGCATCAAATAAACAATTGAAATACCAAAATCATTATTTTTCTTAGCTAAAAATGATATAAAAAAACCTGAAATAATGATTGATTGTATCGTTTGTACACGTCGTTGGCATCAAGTATGTGCATTACATTTAGATGAAATTTGACCTGCAGATTTTATATGTAAAACATGTATACATCAATATAATATAAAACGTAAAGAAAATCATTATATAGCATCAAAATTACCAGTAAATGATTTATCATCACAATTAGAAAAACGTGTCAATCATTTTTTGCACAATCAAGATTGTCAAACAGATCATGCGACAATTCGAATATTATCTTCAAATGATAGAATATGCGTAGTAAAACTACAATTAAAGAAATATTATCCATATCAAGCAACAAATGGTTATCCATATCGAACAAAAGCTATATTTGCTTTTCAAGAAATCAATGGTATTGATATTGTTTTCTGTGGTATGTATGTACAAGAATATGATGAATATTGTCCTACACCAAACACACGTCGTGTTTATATATCATATTTCGATGCAGTATATTTTTTTCAACCAAAGATTTATCGTACAGATGTTTATCATGAAATTTTAATTGGTTATTTGAATTATATTAAACAACATGGATATATGTATGCTCATATATGGGCTTGTCCAGCAAGTGAAGGTATTGATTATATATTTCATCGCCATCCACCAGAACAACGCATGCTGAAATCAAAACGTCTGCAAGACTGGTGTAAAAAAATGCTTGATAGAGCAATTGCAGAACGTATTGTTATTAATTATAAGGTAAAAAATATATATTTATATGATACCTTTGTTAATTCAACAAAAAAAGCGTTTCTCTTTCAATAAAAGTGCCAAAAAAGATCTCAGAATTCTTAAAGGTGCTTCATTTTATTACTGTTTAAAACAATCTATATATATAATGTTCAGTGTCTGTTTGTATTTCTCTATCCCGGGTAAAAAATTAAAGGTCAAATAAGGCTGTGAGGAGTGAGGCTATAAAGGGATAAGGCAATAAGGGTGTAAGGCAACGGTGGAACTCGACTATAAGGGGGAACGCTATAAGAAGGTAAGACAATAAGGAGGTAAGGCTATAAGGGAAGAACGCTATAAGGCGGAGACGCTCTAAGGAGGTTAGGCTACAAAGGGTAAGGCTGTAAGAGCTACAAGAAATATAAGACTGTAAGACTACATGAGCTATGAGCGATATAATGATAATACGCGGTAGGGTTTCTATGTACATAATGTCGAGTGTTTGGGTGTCCATTAGCGAGTGAAAGGCTGAAGTTTTGAGGTCGTACGTTAAAGAAAAAAAGCTGCCATGCAGTATGCATGGGTTCTCGCTAGTATGTAAAACTACAGTGTCTAGTTTTTGAGTTAATTATTATATAAAATAGTATCCCGATAAATAGATAACAGTTTTTAATGGCATTGAACTTATCATGTGATTTCTTCGTATAAAAAAAGAAGAATTTTAAAAAAATCTACTCAATTGAGTAGTAGTTGATATTTTATTTTTTATGTTGTTAATTTAGGATATTATGCAAGATTGTTTGGATAATCAAGTACAAACAGTTATTGACATTCCATATTTCGATGGTGATTTTTGGCCAATTATTATTGAAAATAATATTAATAGTATATTTTAATATTGATAATAAAAATCAAATTTTATTTGTTTACATTTTAGAACTTGAACAAGAAGAATATGAAGACTTAGATAACCCATTTGAATCAGAAGATTCAATCGAAGTAAGTAGAAAAGAATGATAATCGAGTTCAACAAACAATCGCATAGATTAAAATTATTCTATAGTTTTAATAGTTGCTATTTAAATCTTAATTTTAGATTTGATTTCTTATTTTAATTTAGATATGTGGTAAACGTAAATCTGCAAATACATATGAAAACAAAAAATTGAAACAAACAGCAAATCAAATATCGAATTCTACTTATTTACTATCTACAATATATTCAACTATGGAAAAATACAAAGAGGTAAATTATTCAAAAAAACAAACATTTAGTTCATCTCCTACAACATGTGAAAAATGTTATAATATTGAACCAAAACATGAACATAAAATGATAAGTTCAGTATCATCAAAAGTTCACGTTAATCAATATGATAAACATAATTCATTAAATGCTGATGATAAATCTATAGCAAGTATACTGTATAGAATTACAGCGATGAAAATCAATGCAACGTTGTATTGAAGTATTATCACATGCTGTTAAATGTTATTTTAAAAATTAAAACACAAAAATAACGAGTAAATTATTTACAAGCAGATCGACGCCATATGTAAACTATGATGATGATGATGCAACAAAATCTATGATTTGTTTTATATTAGAGTTCTATTTCTAAATAAAATCACATTTGTTCTATATTTATATTGTAATTGTCTGATGTTGTTTTATGTATTTGAATAACTACTAGATAAATCAACAGAGATTTCTACTGGTTTTCTAGTTTCTTTCCTAAATGTCTACGAGCTAGATCTCGATTTTTTGCAGATGAGTGGATAAAGATGAATAGTAAAGGAAAAGCCAACAGAATTTTTCTTTATCGAATCAGTCGATAGAATGATATGAATCATTATTCGCTTTTCTAGCTCTTTAACTTCTCATACCTGTTCTCAACCTACCCACCCTTGACATTGTAGCGACTATTGGTCTGGTTCTTTCATTAATCGTATCTAGTCATTGCGCGTGTATGTCTAACGGCGCAAAAAACGAATTTCATGAGGGGCACAGTTTTCGGTACTTATCAGTAGTGTCATATATCCCGAAATTTGGAGAAGTGCTCATATCTCTCTTGGGAGATGTTGCATTTTCAGGAACCATGTAGCATCTCACGTGGAAGAAGTGAGCACTTCTTCGAACTTTCGGATATGTGACACCACTATCAAAGGTCTCTCGTTTGTTTGATAGAAGACATGTAGTAGATATCTTTGTTGATGTTGCTCCGTGAATTCTGCAATATCATCTCTTTTTAAAAGTGATAAAGCAAGAAAAGAAAGACTTCTACGAGTCCTGTAATCATAACTTCGATATCGCTGATGTCAAGTGTTGTTTGATCTTTACTTTAGACTTTCTCGCCGTCATTTTCTCACTGTATACATGATGATAACGAATTGTAATAGTATCACTGACTTGTTTCGATTCTTTTGATCAAAATCATGTATCCACTAAACGACAACTACTGTCTTCAGTTGGTGCGCAATTCGAGTGAATGTCTCACTATCGAACTTCATCACCATGGAATATTGGCACGAATGGTATCATTGAATAACGATCAGTGCTCGGCGTTGACTCATTGTCTGTGTGAGACAATCGATGAATTCGATATATTGATGATTGATTTACTCCAAACATCAATATCCAGTATTTGTGTAACAGTCGATGAAAATCTTCAAATATCATTTCCAGTACGTTTCGGTAGTCGAAACTATGAGAAATTATGGTCTTTTAAACTTGAATTAGGACATGTGTCAGGGCTTGCAATGAATACAACAACCGAAATCTCACTCGATCCAACCGATTGGAATGATTTGCGATTGTTAGGGCATAAAATTATGGATAATATGATCGACTACATGCGTGATATTCGTCTCCGACCAACCTGGAGTCCATTACCATTAACAATCAAACAAACTATTCTTAATGGTGATCTTCCACTTCAAGGTCAATCACCATGGCAAGTCTATGATGAAATTTGCACGACTATTCTTCCCTATATTATTGGTAATATTCATCCTCTTTTTTGGGGTCATGTCTACGGCAGCGGTTCAGCGATTGGAGCTCTAGCCGAATTTATCACTGGAACAATTAATACAATGTCTTGGGGCGGTCAACAGGCAAGTATCTATTTAGAACGTAAAGTCTTGTGCTGGCTCAAATTGTTGATGGGTTTTCCGAATGATGAGACAAGTTCAGGCATTCTCGTCAGTGGTACATCGGTGGCTACAATCATTGCTTTAGCAGTGGCTAGAAAAAAATTTCATGAACGAATCATGATCATCTACTGTTCGAAAGATACGCACAGTTGTATTATCCGTGCTGCCAATCTGCTCGGTATCAATAAAGAAAATATCGTTTATGTTTCGACAAATGAACAACGACAAATCGATGTGCAGGTTCGTTGAAATCTGACATGTATTTCATTCTAGGTGATTCTTCTTCAGGCATTAGAGGCGTACATCGATCCGAACGCATGTGGCTTTATTGTTGGTTCAGCCGGTACGGTGGGCACTGGAGCTATTGATGATCTACAAGGTTTAGCTGATCTGTGTGCTCGTCGACCGAATGATCTCTGGTTTCATGTCGATGGTGCTATTGGTGCGGTTGCATGTTGTTCACCACGTCTTCGGCCATTGTTCACAGGCTTGGAACGAGCCGATTCGATTGCATTTGATTTGCATAAATGGCTCTTTATTCCATATGAATGTGGTTGTATTTTGGTGCGCGATGGTCAATTACATCGTTCGACATTTGCTCAACCAACCGTATCCTATTTGACATTGATGGACGGTGGCATAACACCGAGTGAAGGTGAATATTTTTTCAGTGATTATGGTCTTGAACTTTCACGTAATACAAAAGCCATAAAAGTTTGGATGACCTTGAAAACCTATGGAATCGAACGATTCGGTCGCATTATGGAACAAAATGTTGATCAAGCATTGTATTTTGCTCATTTAATTGAACAACATTCAAATGAAGTCGAATTGTTGGCGAAAGTAACATTAAATATTGTTTGTTTTCGTTATATTGTATGTCAGTCGAATATTATCAATCAACACGACATGTTAAACAAATTCAATAAACATTTATTGATAATGATACAAGAACGAGGCATTGCCGTTGTTTCGCCATTTGTCATTGGTACGAATACATTTGCTTTGCGAATGTGTATTACGAATCATCGAACAAGATTCTCGGATATGGACAAATTCATCGAACAAGTGATTCAACTGGCTCAGGAACTACTTGATAAGGACGAATTTGCCATTCTGAAGACGATTTGACTGATGTGCATGATTCAATATTGATTCTAAGATGATTGACATCAATGTGCTTTAGTAGCATTAAAATTTTGCTGAGGATCGATCAAAGTAAATTAATTGAAAATTTTGATTCTGAATAAAACTGGATTACTCTAGTTTTGGCCTAAAGAATTCAAAGATTTTAGCTAATCGTAGTCATGGTAGTAGTTTAGCAGACCATTTGTGATAAGCATAAACCGGCTATGACATTTATGTGACCATCTTCATATAAAAAATATGCTTGCGAACTAAGAAATTTTTTGTTATTCGAAAACTATCGTATTATAGTACATAACAGACAAGGGAGAACAGGTGCTCAACGATTTTAATGATCTTTGTGCTTTCAGTACTTTTCAGGATTCTGTCCGGTTTGACTTCGTTTTAAGTATTTACTATCAGCCCTTAAGCAAAAGAATGTGACTGTTATGGTGACCATAACTCCCTACGAGTTTGAAGCATATGATGTTGCTCTGGACATTAAATTTCTTTCTCCTCTCCTGCCAAAAGATCTCGATCTTCTGGCTCGATCTATGAGCTATGTAACATTTACATCGCATGCAACAGATAGTAACCAATATTGTGTGCAAACCTATTTCGACAATACGACCGAATTGGTTATCAACAACAACGATCAACATTTTTTTGCTTCACGATACCATTGCGTTGGCATGGATATGCTTTCATTCCGATCTGTTGATCAATTATTACTCGCGAAGAAGGATGACAACGTCCGAATCGATTTGGAAGCTCAATATCTGACAATAACAGGTGCTGTCCAGAACTAAACATCGATATTAGCTACTGTTATGAGCCGAGAGAACTTCGCTCATCATGATGTATTGCGCGCCTGTGATGGTAGATGTTTTCTGCGAGCTGCCAACGATCATTGTCCCGATATTTCAGTGACTTTTTCATTGGACAAACTGAACGAGTGTACGACTTCTTGTCATTTAATATTATCTATGATAAGATGTACTTGGTTGAATATTTCTATCAAAACCTGAAACCTTATTGGAGCCGCAATAATATGCAGATATATGAACTTCTGAGAAATGCTGAATTTGACAATCACGATAAAATACAGGATGAACACAAAATTCAAATCTATGCATTTTTACTAACGGTATGTGTGTGAGCGGTGGTGACGAGATAACTGATACCCATACCCACAATAGTTAAGGAAAGTATAAAACTCATAGTCAACTGTGAGAAAGTGTTGAGCTGCATTTATTAATTGTAGCTAGAAAAATATTTATTACATTTTCTCTTTCATACGTTCAGTATTACTTTTCGCTAGGACAATATGTGGATGCATTGGGGAAAGAGTTTTCTTTTTCACGTGAAGTGCTCGTTCGAGAAATGAAAGTGCTTTTGAATATTCACTCATGTTGGAATATACTAAGCCAATGATATTGTAAGAAGTAGCCATGTCTGGTTGAGAGTGTGGGGGTGGGGGTGTTGATGAGTGAAATCAAATTTGCACTCACACCCCACATCCACATCCCACACCCACACACCCCACCCACACTCACACCCACACCCAAAAGATCAATTTATTTTTTTAAGGGAAATGAAATATAAGAGAACATGTTTTCAACTTTTAGTTTATAGTGGACGAAAAATCTAAAGCTGCATATCAATGTGAAGTGATTCACACTGGGGAAAATCAAAATGTAATTGACTAGCTGTGTTTTTTAAGAATTATTTATATACACACGTTGTTGGTATAGTTATTCGTTTGAAATATTCCAGGCCACTATTAACAGTAAAGTCAGTATCGATTGTTGAGAATAGAAAGAAGGAGATAGATACGCAGAAGGTGTGGGGTATGGATGTGATGTAAACGCCAAAAGCCACACCCACATCCATCCCACCCCCACACTCGTATCCTAGCCACACCCACATCCATCCCACTCCCACACTCGTATCCTAGCCACACCTACACAAATACTCGCACCTACATCCACACTCACATCCACCCATAAGCGTTCTGTATAGCGATCAGTGGAAGGAAATTTATGAGGTGCAAAGGTAGCAGTTTGACAGAGGGAGAAATTATCGAATTGACGAATATTATTGTGGGACGGACAAAAAAATTACATGTCGATGGGTTGAAAATATGTGTATGTATGTTTAATTCAATTTTTTTGTAAAAGTCTACATGGTTCGTTGATGTGTGGGAAGTTTTTTGAGTTTGTTCACCATTCCACAAGTGGAGCGCCACGGCCATCAGGGAAAGTTCCGACTAAAATTCGGCTCCAATCGACTATCCACCATATAAGCGCAACAATACCGATAATTATATTACAGCACATGGCTCTTTCTTCTTTATATCTCGACATGGGAGCCAAGATGCAGCAACCAGATGAGACTAATAGTTTCATTATTCCAGCGAATATGTATTGTTCGTTTCCGCGTGCTAGAACGAACCAATCGACACCGAATCCACCGAGCAAAATGGAAACAATCACAGCAATTGTTTTCGACTTTTGTTCGTACGAACATCGTCGACCACGCTTCCATGTTAACCAGCCTTTTTCGCACACGCATATGCTTTCTTGACACTTGCCATGTCCGTGGCATTGGCTATCCAACGTACATATTGGCTTTCGAGGCTGATTTGGCTCTGATTTGGATTCGGTCGTATTGATATCTCTACGAGAATATATTTCCCTTCGAACAATACGTATCGCTGTAACGCGGTCATTCGTCTTGAATTTGACGACACCCAACAAGAGAATTATCGTCAATGTGATGGGCGACTGCATTGCTTGAAATGTGATCATTTCTATTCATCAAAATGTAGACGTCTCTTCTTTACTTGGAATGATATTTAGGTACATTAGATTTCTTACCTCACTCGTTATCTCTATTATTGATAGTTGCTGGTTTTGTTGTCAGATAAGGCTGTAACAATTTCAATCTGAAAGAATCAGTTCAAAGTTCATATGATCTAGTCAATCAGTTTCGGTTTCTAGGAATTCAACTGGTTGATCAGTTCCAATTCTTAGCAACTGATCTAACTGCCCAGTTTCAATTCATAGTACTGAATAATCGTTAATTATAATCGATTATTTGTCGATGGTTGCGTAATAAAGTAAAGATATGAACATGCAACAATTATAACTGTTTCATGTTCACATTATTACTTTATTACACTTTCGTAATCGATTTTAATCAATGACTCATTTATTTTTTCCAAGTACTTGAATTAAGGTGACTGTGTCATGAATGTGATTTTCTTGCAAGTCTTATAAATACTCTGGAAGGAGTACAATAGACAGAAAAAAAAGAATAAATAACAACAAAAAGCGCTAGGAAGAGAATATGTATGAAAGAGAAGTGTAGAGCGTGAGAAATTTGATAGGCGACTGACATTTGTGGAGTATAAGTCGATAAAAAAATAAAAAATATCGGTAGGATTAGAATGAAACAATACGGAATTTTTTCGATTTTGGGATTTTGGATTTCGGATTGCTTCCAAGTTTTGAGGCTTTGGAATTTGGATCTAAGGTTTTAGACGGCTATTCAGTTTATTGGTTTCAACTACTACATTGGATAAGCATCTTTCTTATGATGGTTTATTTTTGAATCCTGAATCATGTCCAATGTAAGATTCGTAGACTGTTAGAAAAGCTCATTCTGAATTGCTGCTTTTCATAGGTGTTTGGATAAATGCTGTAGATGATAGTTGAACTGAGTGATGAAGAATTTCCATCACCTTTTACGGCATGATTTTCTTATTAAATAATTTCATACATCGGACAAAGATCGAATGATTTGATTAAAATGTCTCGTTCAAAAGTATGTCTGAAGTGCAATTTATTAGGTTATCTCATTCGAGGTTCTGTGGCATCGAAAACAAAACTGTGTTCGAAGAAACTGGTGTACAAAGCGCTAGAGTTTGAGATTTCTCTGTGTTCAGTACCATCTTACTTATACAATACAGTCCTGGACATATGTTCCTATACACCTAAATATGTATCTAACGTTTCATCGTTTTCAACCAAATTTCTAGCACAAATAGACCTCGGAAAATTGTGATCGTAGACATCAACCCATTCTCGATTAATTAACATATAGCCGAGTTATAAGTCCATCGCTGTCTTCATATTCAGAGAATTATATCTCAGCTAATGAACCCGAATAGGATCTCAGGAAAATTTGTTTATTCTTCAGCTTTTTGATAAGTTATTACTGGCTTTTTTAGTGCTAAATGTAGTCTCGTATATCTACTTTCGTAGGTGAAAAAGCCGTCTCATTTCGATCAGATCCATGCATTTGGTAAAATATGCAATAGTCATCTCTTGATCTTGATGTATCTCCACTTAAATTAGAATTGTAATTCTGAAACTTGGAGTAAACACTTGTGCACCTATGGTGAATTATAGAAAAAAATTTCAAATAATTGATCCAACTCATACCGAGTTAGATCTATCTGACTGAAGGCTCAGCTTTTCTGATGAAAGAACATTTCCAATGAGATAATCATATCTCAGTCTTATAGATCAACTAATCGAGGGCGGATTAGTGTCTACGATCACAGTTTTTCGAGTTCTATCTGTGCTAAAAATTTGATTAAAAACGATCAAATTTTAGATACATATTTAAATGTATAGGAATATTACCGTTTGAAATTATTGGTTTGTCTTCAGATATTTCTAAAGTCAACGACAATATACAACTCAACTAGTTTTCAACGTGATTCTGTATGTTTATGATGGAGTTTGAGAAGATTTCAAACAAGCTGATACTTTGTATCTGGTATTACCTATCAAGACCCGACGCTCTTTTCAGCTTTTTCAATCTTAACGATCGCATGGCACGTTTAGTAATCGAGTTTTGTTGTATGCGCAAACAATTGAGTCTACATTACGCTTTGTTGTCGACTTGTCGCTTTCTCTCGTCATATCCCGAGAGCAAATGAATGGTGTTTCGAAGTCACTTTTCTCGACATAGGTAATGAGCATCAATGTGATCAGTTGGAAATGTTTGCAAATTGAGTGTTCGCGTCACTAGTTGGAAATCCTATTGAGATCATGAAAAGACAATCTACTAACGTTACACAAGACCTCTTTCAAGTCACATTGATGCATAGAAAAAGTCTGATACTGCTTTTTCCTCAACTCACTAAACTCATCGTTTGGAAGACAACTTTGATCAGTGACCATTGTCGAGATATTCTATTAAATATAGTTGCTGAAAGTTCACGTATAAAAACTATAATGTGATCGTCTTATCATCAGAAAGTCCATCATTCATGAGTGTTATTTAACTGACTACTTTGCCCTTCGATTAGTCATGCTCACACCACTGATCTTCAACAATTCTCTATTCTGGTTGCATAAGTTGTCCAATTCGAATTTGAATATAAATGGATTCGAAAATATACGTCAAAAATCAGCTTTGAGTTCAAATAGACATTTTACTGTTTGCGCTGGAATAGGAGAAATGTGGAGTGAATTCAGATTCGAATTCAAATTCGAATTCAAATTCTGGTTCGACACTTTACCAACTTAATTACATTCAAATGTGGGCGTCCATTGTTCACCTTTAGACGTGTCTCAGACATGAAATGCATTTGTTTGCGGCCTGAATGAGACGCAGCTAGAGTTCTTCTAAGGCAAGCAGGAACGCTCGAAAACCGATCGTAAGCGGAGAAATACGGTGCTTTACAAGATTCAACATTACGATAGCATATCTTCGTGCTGTATACAGAGAAATACGATCGTTTATGGACAAAGAAATGCTCGTTTGCTGTCTCCCCTTTATTTCGTATTTGTTGGTATACGATCGTATTTCTCCGTATACGGCTAAGGAGATATATGATCCTAATAATAAGCCATGTGAAACGCCAAAATACAATCGCATGCAGTCATTTACAAGCGTATATGGACTCTGTATTCATCGTCCTCGGCTAAACACATTTATGTGTGTATTGGATATGATTGTGCTTGATGTTGATTCGCATTTGCACGCGTTTCGAATATACAAAACGCAGCAAATGGTGCACAATCTGTACCTCCAGCCGCTTTTCAATAATGCTAAGCATCTGTTGCATCTTGATCCACTATCAGTGTATTACCTGTAAGTAATGTGATCCCCAAGTGGACTCCGTGCTTTCGCAAAGAAGTTTAAAAAATCAAGTAATCGAAGATCGTCGAAATTATCTAGAAGTGATAGCTGTGAAGAAAATTCACTGATAATTGCGATTAAGAGTAAAGAATGATAGAAATTGAATGACAACATTTTTTGCGGAATGATATAGAGAACACCGGCATATACAGGGCGGACCAAAAATTACTTTACCGAAAAGGAATTGATTATCTTGATTACGGCTCGAGCAAATGAGCTGATTTTTTTGTCAATGATAAGGGTATGTTTGAAAATTTTTTTGTTGAGATCACGGTTGGTACTTAACGAACGGCCTCTCTAGGCTTGTCTGTATAGATATAAATCTTGAATACTCCTCTATCATTGACAAAAAAAAACAGCTTGTTTGCTCGAGCCGTAATGAAGATATTGAATTTATTTTCGGTAAAGCGGCTTTTGATCCACCCTGTATACATCATACCTTTTTAAAATATAAAGAAAAGCAGTCTGACTGAATTTATCAAACGGGATTATATTACATATATTTGTATTTATATAACGAAAGCGATATCCTGATTTTTTTGTGTCCTGTCTTTTCTTGTTATTTCAACAAAGAATCGAGTAAATTAAACCTAGGCATGAACCATATCGAAGTCAAATTATGAAAATCATGGATATATTACCTTAATTGAAAACACGATTTAGCTACGATATATGCTGCTTATAAGCTTGAATTCAAGGCATATGGTTTTGGACGAATATGCCCATAATCGCAGATATGTTCGCACCGAAGGCACTCCGGTTCATATTGGATGCATAGAGATTTGTATTTTTCGATTATTTGTTAACTCAACAAAAAATAGAGCTAAAACCAGAGTATTTCATTTCTTTGCATAAATACAAACTGTGCAAGCTTTTTAAATATTTATAGCATTTTTTCTTTTGAGTGAAAACTTCTAAAATGAGCGTCTAGTCATTCGTCGACGTCCCATCGAGACGCCACTGGTGCCTAACCGTTACCACGTTTAGGTCTACTTCCGCAAATAATAGTCCGATTTCGTACACAATCTAATCGAATCGCGTCTGACTCCTCGCTGAGAATTATCACATTATAATATAAGGCTTTTCGGTGGAATATTCGACAATTACGCCTATTTTTCAAAAGTTTGAGGATTAAAATAGATCGTGTTGAAGTCAAAGAAATGTTGTCGTACGATGCACATAGTACCTTTTTCAAGAAGAATATTTGTTGAATTCAATAACAAATGTATTCATTTCGTTTTCTTATTTCGAATATGTGTATCCAAGTTGTTCAAAACTTTTATGTTGAGTTTGTATCGTTGATTGTCTGTCATGCATGTGACATTATTTAGGAATTATGTAGTGATGTCTGGATTCATCTATTTCCTAGTAGTACTGGGAATATATCGCACGGGAGATAGATTGCTTGATGTTATTCGTTAGCTTCCTGCTCGTCGGTTAGCTTCAATGTGCCAACAAGGGCGTGGGTGTAGGTGTGGGTGTGAGTAGCTATAGGAGTGGATATTCTTTTCACACTCATACATACACCCACACCTAGCGATATCTTTCGTATTTTGATCGGTTTATAGAAGTTCGTTGGCATTGACAAGATCTTTTGATTAACTGAAAAAAGATAATGCAAAACTTATATCTAAGATTTACTTTCAAGCATATGATAAATACGAATGGTTTGTCTCAGCATGCTGTCAGTCTCAAATATTGAAGATGACCACAATCGCCCTGACTTTTATCTAAGTTTAATAGTTGAAATGTAATTACTCTACATCTTGTTTTAAAAATGGATTTTATTTTTTAAGAGTATTCTCCTGTTTTTGAATCCTCGATCACAGTACAAACAATTTTCTTCAAACTTTTTACTATAGATAGAGCACCTTAAATAAGGAAACATGTGTTTAATGAAAAAAGTTATAAATGACGTTTTTTTGCTTTTTTTTCAAGAAAACTGGTTTTTCATAGGACTACACTTAGGGAACGTTTCAAAATGTTTGCCGGTCGGCCGGCCGTTCAGCCGCTCGGCCGCTATGCCGTTCTGCCGCTGTGCCGCTCTGCCGTTCTCATGCCGCTCTGCCGTTCAGCCTTTCTGCCGCTCTGCCGTTCTCGTGCCGCGGCATAACGGCACAACACATTTTCGTTTTAATTACATTTTGATAGATTAATTGTCTCCTTTGATGTATGTATACGTATACATCATGTATATTTTTCTATTTCTATTCAATATTCTTGAGCTCTAGACTATTCATTTTCTTGAAAAAAGATGATTTTTTTAATTCATGATAAGACTTTCGTTCAACTTGATCACGTTGTAAACGTGATAATGATATTTGTCTCATTCTTTCTTCAGACCTTTTTGTTTTCTTTTTTTGAACATCAACTATCTATAGCTTCGCATAACAAATAATTCTTTAAAAAGTACTTGAAAATTTGATGAAACGTGTTTTAAATGAATTAAGTTGATAGAGAATAGCTAGTGCCAAATTGAATATGTATTTAAACTATAATTTATGAAAAATAGTGAAAATAAAATAACATCTATTT